ATATATGTATGTATGTATGTATGTATGTATGTATGTATGTATGTATGTATATATATCTATATATATGGAAAAGTCTTTCCAACGCCTATAGACGATAGGGAACAGTGATTTCGCCTCTGTCTTATCCACCGTATGTTTCAAATTAACGAAATGTAGGGTTGTGATGATGAAACAAAACCCTCCTACACGAGCTCAAAAGCTTCAAACCCAAGTTTATTTCAACCTGTACCCCTCTTTTCCGCTCGCTCTCTTCTGTGCAACAGACGAATGCATACCCCTCTCTTCCGCTCACTCTCTTCTCTACAAAAATGCCGCTCTTCTCTCCTGCTGCTAAAGGCGCCCCCAAAACCCTCTCGATCTTCCTGGCTGCTAAAGATGGCACCAAAGCCCTCTCGACCTTCCTGGCTGCCACAGAAGTTGGAGCTCTGCCACGAAAAGTTCTTCGACATCCATTTAGGTGAGTGCACCTCAAATCTTATCCTCATTTTTGTATTTTTTTTTGCTTGAATCCAACCCACAATTTCCGAAAAAACTCTCATCTCTTTCATCAGTTTCAGATCCAAATTCATCTGAAGATTTGGTTTCATCTTTAGATGAGGGATAAACTGAAGCTCTTGGTTCGTATGCTTCTATGAGTTTTGATGTGTATCCTACGTATGAAAGAGCAGAGATAGCAGAGGGTTGGCTTCTGGATTTGAGAAAGGAAATTCCTTTCTTATTCTCCAGTTGCTTCCTATGCTCAACTTGCCCTAAATTAAGAATAAAACCCTTTTTTTTTTTACAAAAGCGAACCCAAAATATTTTGTAGATCGCAAAATGATATATGCCAATAAAACCCTACGTTTTTTTCAGAATAAATCACCAAAAACGGGAGAAGAAATCATAGTTACAGAAAATGAAAATGGAAGACAAAACGATATATGGGATAGGAAATTTTGGGTTTGGTTAAAAAAAATTTTGGTGATTTCAGTTTATCATAGTTTAAATCATATCTTTATCGCCAATAAACACTCATATTGTTCTTTGATGTCTAAAACAAAGACGAAGTTTGTGATTATATCCAAAAATGAAATTTG